ATAAGCTCATCCCGATGTTATACTCATCAAGAGCTTTCATTTGAGTACCCACAGGCATTTTTGATATATTTTTCATATATACATATATATAATATATATAAAATATATGAAAAATTGATGTGGGTATTCAAATGAAAGGTCTTGACGAGTATAACATCAGGATGAGCTTATATCTTTAAAAATGTCAATAGTTCTCAAGATACAAGGTCATTTCTTAATTATGTATCTAGAGATAAAAAATTTTTGAATGCAAATACTTATCATAATAGATTGACTATCCAGGACATAAAATTTTTATTATTCTCTTAATAATGTAGATAATTATTATTATTATTTATTATAATTCGAATTTTAATTATTTAATTAAAAAATAAAAAATTCAGACAAATTTGTTATACAATTATCAAATTATTCATGTCCGTTTTCTCTAAACCTTGGTATCGTTAATTTAGTGGGAAGGTCATGGATTAGATTGCAAAGAAACGAGTCACGAGATTTTATCCAATGTTATTCCATCTTTTTTTGCAAGACGCTCAAATAATAAAAAAATTCTATTTAATTATTTTAATTCGGCAATTACAGGCAATTTGATCGCGTAAATTAATTAACAATTGTAGAAATAAAAATAAATAACTTTTCTAATCTTCTTCTCCTTCGGAAGAATATAGAAGCGGTTTATAGAAACACTAGGAAGTTATTATGAGTTTAGATTAGATCTCGTGATAATAATTCTCATGTTTCGAGACAGAAGCGCTGGAATGACAAAAGTAGATGGTGATGATATATTATAAATGAAATTTTCCTTCGCGATATGTATGATATATATTATTATTTTTTATTGTTATTTGCTTCCTTTACTTTGGCTATACTTCATCAGATAAAAATTTATTTTTTTTACTATAGTAGTTAATTTTTTATTTAACAATTATTCTTTAGTAATTTAAATATCTATTTTTAATTTCTTTGCTTTAAGTTAGTTAATTTTATTTACCAATTTAATTGTACAATCTAAAATTATATAATTTTATAAATTGGCTTTTTATTATCTAAAAAAAAAAAAAATGAAAAATCGGTAAAATTTTGAATTTTCTTCTTAAATTAATAAAATAATCTTCTTAAATCAAGTTATATAAAAATTAAGGCCAATGTTAAGTATAATTAATAAAAAAATAAATTCTATTAGCATTTATGTTAATTTGTCCTGCAAAATTCAAGGATACACCTGATCCTTTCACAATAAAATTACCAAAGCGCTGTATTTATGTTTGTAATATATTTCCTGGCGTTTAGTCTATTAGTCGGTATATTCTTCTCAATAGTCGCCAGTAATTACAATTATATTAGCGGCATTTAAAAATCAAAGCACGTGGGCCAGCAATGAAACGTCACATAAATATATAAATTTATATGTATGTATGTTAGATCTAAAGTATGTAAAGAGGTTTAAAAACTTAAGACATGAAAAGGTATAGAGAGCATAATTCGATAAAGACCGTTGAGCTCAGGCGGAAACTACTAAATGGATGGTACTGATAAATGAACTTGTTGTGCAACCTGCTATTCTTACATAATGCTATCGTAATAATAGATTAACAATCACTTTAATAAATATTACCGACTCGAAATTCTAAAGTCAACATTTATTTTTTCTCCAGAACTAACAATTGCGATAATTATTCATTTTTTTTGCAGGAGAGATGGCTGTCATGTATCTCTTCACGCGTTACCGATTCAACTGGAATGAACTTAAGTTTAGCATGTTCTACACTTACTCCATGATCACTAATTTAATTGGTAAGAATTTTTATTTTAATTATCAAATAATCAATAAAAAAAACAACGACAATAATAATAATAGAGTTGAAATTTTATTTTAAAAAAAGGATTTTCAAAGAAGAAATAAAGAAAATTTTTTTAAGTAATAATAATAACTAGCAACCTTGCAGTCACTATGTGAACTATAAATAAATAAAATTTTGCTTTATTAAATAATGACTTTTGTTAAATTGCACTGTACTTTTTTAATTATTGATGTTTTTAAAGATATAAGCTCATCCCGATGTTACACTCGTCAAGAGCTTTCATTTGAGTACCCATATGCATTTTTGATATATTTTTCATATGTACATATATATAATATGTACAAATATATAAAATATATGAAAAATTGTTGTGGGTACTCAAATGAAAGGTCTTGATGAGTATAACATCAGGATGAGCTTATATCCTAAAAATATCAATAATTTTGTTTATTCTTTCAATTATATAGGTAATAAAAATAATAGTCATAATGATAAAGTTGAAATTTATTAAAAAAAAAAGATTTTCAAAGAAGAAAAAAAAGTAGTTAATAATAATAATAATAATAATAATAATAAAAAAATTGAAATTTTATTATAAAAAAAGGACTTTTAAAGAAGAAATAAAAAAAATTAATCATAATAATGGTTGAATATTATCATAATATCTAATTAAATATGCGAATGATAAAGAGGATCGTCCTTAATAATTCAATAAAAACATAATGCATAATACAAGCAAGATGAGAATTGATTCAACAACTTTCTCTCTTATGTCATTATTTAAATCCTATCAATCCATGATTTATTATCATTATGTAAATATTGCGATTTAATTAGAATTTATTGCTCATAAATAATTATTCAAACTTGCGGCTAGTTAATTCATCTTAATTATTTATTTATCCTTAATAAATAATCGCTTATTACTTTTAAAAATATTATTATGAGGGACGAGAGCTATCAAGTTATATAACAAATAATTATTGTCTTGGTTTTTATATATATATATATATATTTTTTTTTTTTTTTTTTCGTTCAAGAGATATGTATATGTTTAGCTTATTCTATTGTGCATAACAAATTTACTCTGTGATTTATTGTGAATTGTACCATTTAAAATTCAATCACAAATTACACACATTGTTGAGGCTGAAGGATCATGTAATATGTAATAGATGTAATACAATACACTTTTATGTACTTTATATTCAATTTTACTTTTTATTGATTGCTAATCAGCGGATGCTGGCTTTTCCGGTTGACTATAAAAAATTTGAAGCGACTATGAACTTGAATTTTTTTATTTAATTTAATTTAGAAAATTTTAATTAATAAAAATAAATTATTACAGGTACAATGATGTCCGTGGGAATATTCAGTCATTTTTTAAAAATAGACGACGCGCTTATCGGAGTAATGAGCTGCATGAGCAAAATTTTGGCGAGTTTCGTCTATGCATTTGCCACTGAAGACTGGGTCATTTATTTAGGTAATTAATTAATTAAATTAAATATTATTATAACAAGTAGAATAAAATATTAATAAATAATAAAATTGTAACAGCTCCGCTGGTAGAAATAATAAATGGAACATCATTCATTGCAATGCGGTCCATAGCTTCAAAATTAGTCCCAACAGACGAGCTCGGTAAGTTTACTATCTCTATTAATCTATTCTATTGCATTGTAGATTTTATTTACAGTTAATTTAGTTTGTTGAAAATAAATTCCTCGAGGTCAATTTTTGGACTGGCCCTCTTAAACACAATTATCAAATATCCGGCGGTAAAATTTTTTCATCCGTTCAAATTCTATCTAACTTAATCTAATATAATTATTTAATTCTATTTCAATTTAGATTTATTTACTGCTAAAAGCTTCTTTTTATTCTTCTCTACTCAATATCTTTTTTTAATTTATTTGATCTTTTTATAAAGCCGCTAATTTTTGGGAAAACAAAATTATTAGAGCCCAAAAAAAAATTAAATTAAATTTTTTTCTTCTTTTAAATTTAAAAATTAAAACAATTAATTAAAAACTTTAATTTTTGGTGAAAAAATTTTATTAAAATCTAAAAAGAAGAAATATTAATTTTATTTAATTTATTTCTTCTTTAAATTAAAAATTAAATTAATTAATTAATATAATTAATAAGTTAAAATAATAAATAAAAAATAATAAAATAATAAAAAAATGAAAATAATTAATAAAAAATTATAATTTTTAGGTAAAGTAAATTCTTTATTCGGAGTTTGTGAATCACTGATGCCTCTAGTATACGGACCAATTTATTGTTCAGTGTATGCAGCAACGATGGACACATTACCAGGAACATTTTTTTTATTCGGAGGCGCTTTAACGATCCCCGCTGTAATATCATTTTTGTAAGTATTCTTCTTAAATAAATTTCAATAAAAAAACATTAAATAAATATAAATAATTAAGATATCGACGGCAGATGAAGCGATATTGATTAAACTAAATTTTATTGAGCGTGACACATATTTTATTACTGTTAAATTACCCCCCACTAGTTTGATTGAGATGAATTAGTGATAGCTCGGTTGATATGCTAGCTTGTAACTATTTATTAACATGTTACTGTGTGTAGGTGGCTGTACTTTGAGAACAGAAGGGAACGGGCGCTGATGGAGCTCGAAATGAGGAAGGAGAAGTTTGCTAAAGTTGAAGAACTGGGTGATAAGGGTATTAAGATGATTATTAATAGCGATAACAATAAAGATTTTCAAAGGAAAATTTCAATTGCTAATTCTGATAAGCACATTGAAGCTGCTGTCAATGGTATTGATAATCCTAATTTTCTCTCCGAGCATTTATAAAATTTATTAGTCACTTTTTTTTTATTTTTTAAATTTCATTTTAATATTTTAACACCAAATAAAACATCACAAATATTTATGACTGGTTTAAAAGACAATTAAATTGTTTAATTAAAAATTTTTTTAAATTATAGCAGCAAAAAAATTATCTTTTTTAACGCAAAATAAAAATAAAATTTTTAATGCCGTTTTAAAAATAAAAAAGTGTAAATTACGAGTGTATACAAATATATTTTGGTACTTAAGTTATTATAGAGATGAATGAAGATCAGTTAAGTGTAAACTGATCAAATGTTATCAGTATTATTACTATAATATAATGTTAATGTTTACTAATATAATTGTAACATTGAAGATTTAAATTTTTTACCAATTTGTAGATAGAAAATATTTTCAATATAGTGTAATATTTTAAATATTAAAAATATTGTTATTAATTAATTTTAATGTAAGTTTAGAAATTAATTGATCATTGAAAAATATTTTTTGTGATATAGTCTTATATAATTAATAAGACTTTATTATATATAAGTTCGATTGATGATCTATGTACTCATGTATTATTATAAATTAAATAAAATTACTTTGAATAATTTATGTTTTATTTATTTAATTATTTTTTTTTTTTAATTTTATTAATTTAAAAATTTTTTTTAAGTTAATTTAAAAAAGCGAATTAAAAAAAAAAAAAAAAAACAAACAAATTAATAAATGTATACAAAGTCTCAGATGTCATTTTTAAATTTGTCATAATATTGAAAATTAATGAAGTATTATTATTATTATTATTATTATTATTTAATTAATGAAGAAATTATAATTTATTATTGAAATTAAAATTTGCAGTGAAGAATTTTAAATATTTTTTAACAATGAGTGAAGGTAAAATTAATATGAATAATTATCATTTAGATTTAGATGATTAGAGTGAAGGTTAGAATTGAGAAGAAATAATTTTTCAGATGATTTAGACAGTACAGACTTGGAAAAAATAGAAGAAATAGTTACTCAAATTCAGGAACAAAATGCGCAAGTGACGGCAAATTTAAGAGATTTAAGAAAACAAAGTGAAAATATGGCAAAAAAAATAAAAAATGAGATGAACAAAAATGGCGAACTAATGAAAAAAAGCAAGGAACTCACTAAAGAACAAAGTGAAATTAACAAGTACGTTAATGAGCAGTTGAACATGATCTCGGAGAAGTTTAACGCTCTTTCAGAAGCTGAACGCGCGCTTAATGCCAAAGAAGAATATATTGCAAATTTAATTCAAAATCTTAAAAAATAAATTTATTTATTAGTTTTATTTCTTTTCTTACTGAAAAATTTTTAATAATAATTTAGATAAAAAAAATTGTAATCAGAATATTAAATTAAAAAAAAAAATATATTATTAAATTGTTTAAAAAAAATTGTACTGTTAAATTATTAAGAATATGAAATTTTTCTGCTCATATTTTTATCGAAGCTTTGCGATTAAATAATATAAGAACTTATAATATAGGTAATTAAAAAAATCGAGTAACACAATATTGATGTGATTAGTAACCATAGTTACTCGTTGTCCTTGGTAACGGCTTACACATATTGGCAATGTTTCGTATCAGATTTCTTTTGACAGCTAAGGCTCGGTCCAAGTATCAATTATTCAATAATGTTCACTAAGAAGCGTTTATTAAAATTAAACGAACCAATGGAAATAGTTCCGCCTCCAACGCAAAAATTTACTATCGATCAGTGGCGTCTTGACAATCAAGCTCGGTAAATCTTTTAGCATTTCCTTATTAAAATCATTACCATTAATTGTAATTGTAATTGTAGGTTCCGCAAATGCAACATTCATTGCCAGTTGGTTGAAAGTTTGATCGCTGAATCGGAACGCATATGTGATTCGACATTGGAATTAACTAAGACTAATAAAACAGCCACTGATTATGAGCTGAAAGAAAAATTAACGGATGTTAAATTTGTTAAAGATGAAATTTTGCGGCACCGTAAGGATGTTATTTTGGAAATTGATGCGCTGAAAACTTACAAGGCGAGATTGATTGATGGATTGTCCTCGATTCAAGAAAACGCTGCTGATATTTGCAAAAAATGTCTTATTGCTCGGTATAAGCAATTTTATTTCAAAATTTTTACCGTAATTTTAAAATAACTTACTTCCATTTTTTTAGAGAACATCGCTTGGGTATCGACTTGACTGTTGACGATGTAGAGAAAGAGTTGAAGAAAGAACTGGAAGTGATAAGCCGGGCAGACAGTATTTTTACTCGAACATTGGAGCATACAAACGAACAAATTCGGATTTTGAAATCTTTGTTGTACTACCTTGATGGAGATCTCGAGAACAAGGACCGCAGCATTCAGTTGGACCAGAGGAACCTTAGTTTGAAGGAGACTAGCTTGAATCTCAGTACTTATCACGGAACAGCTTCACTGGATCCCTCGTGAGTAAATTATAAAATTAAATAAAATTTTATTAATATTAAAATTTTAATTTTTAATTACTTTTAGGACCATTACAATTCAAGAATGGGACTTACATACAGATGAAATTGTTATGTCGACAATGAAGCAGATGAATAGCACCCGAGTCCTCCGTTGTTACATAGATAATATTTTAAAAGAAATAGTAGATGATTTAAATGAGCAGAAAGAAAAAACTAACGAAGCATTTAGACAGAGAATTTTGGAAATTAAGGAAGTTAAAGCTCGTCTTGAATTACAACATTCTGAAGTAATTTTTTTTTTTTTCATTAAATTAAATAAATAAAATAATTAATTTCTTTTTCATTGAATTAAATAAGCAACCTAGCAGTCACTATGTGACTGCTGAGACTTGTGAACTATAAATAAATCAAATTTTGTTTTATTAAATAATGACTTTTGTTAAATTGCACTGTACTTTCTTAACTATTGACGTTTTTCAAGATATAACCTCATCTCGATGTTACACTCATCAAGAGCTTTCATTTGAGTACCCACATGCATTTTTTATATATTTTTCATACATACATATATATAATATATATAAATATATGAAAAATTGATGTGGGTACTCAAATGAAAGGTCTCGATGATTGTAACATCGGGATGAGCTTATATCTTTAAAAATGTCAATATTTCACAAGATACAAGGTCATTTCTTAATAATGTACCTAGAGATAGAGCATTTTCGAATGCAGCCTAAGTACTTATATCCATAAAAACCCATTTTATCATATAAATATAGTGGCCACAAAATTTTTCTTATTCTCTTAATAATATAGATAATTAATTTTTATTTTTTACTTAATAAATAAATTAAGTAAAATAATTGATTTTAATTTTTTAATTAATAAAATTTTTTTTTTTATAATTAGATAATAAAACAAGCAAATGCAATGACTCAGAACATAACACGTCTGGAAAAAAATATTGCTGAAAAAGAAGGATTTCTCGCGTTAGCTCACACGCGTTTAGGAAATCGTTGTCATCGGCCAAACTTGGAATTAACTCGCGATCAAGTTGAGCAGAAACTTGTCCAAGAAGTATATGATATTCGTCAAACGGTTGCGAAACTCCAGCAAACATTGAACGAGGTAGCTCTAAAAACCAAAGAAGATATATATTAATTAAATACTATTTATTAATGAAAATCATTACATCATTTCAGGCTCATGCGACTTTACGGTACTTGCTAAGTATGCAAATACAATTAGAGGAAGATATTAATATCAAAACAAATACTTTAAAAATTGATGAGATAGAATGCATGACTCTACGACAAAGTTTGAATTATCATGCTTATTAAATTAATTAAAATTGTATAACCCAGGTATCTTATGAACCCACTGATTATTAAAGTGAACTTTATTAAAAATTAACTTACTGAATTATTATTGATATTATTGATATTAAAAAAAAAGAAATAATAATCAGTTAATTTTGCAGTCATTATTCGGCTTTGAGTCACTTTCTTCTTGCTTGGTTTCTTCAGACTCGTCAACTGTTGTTGTTTCTGCTGTTGGACTTGGAGTCTGGACTTTATTTAAAGTAGAATCTTCTGACTTGTTTGATTCATCAAAAATAAGAAGGTCTTGAAGCTGTGAAGATTGAGCCGGAACAGTAACTGGATTTTTAACAGCACTTGCTTGATCTTCAACAATTTTTTGCGGACTTTTGTCTTGTGTCTGCACAGTAGATGGTTGTAAAATCGAACTTGAGTTTATAACTGAGCTCTGCTGAGCCTGAGGAGTTTGAATTTTACTCTGTGTCATCTTTTGAGTGTAATTAACCATCATTTGTTCGAATAACATCATTAACTGCTGGGAATCCACGGCAGGTTGAGGCGTAGGCTGAACTTGCGGTTGAGTAACAGGAGTAACAGGAGGATTAGGAACCTTCAAATCTAATAATGCTGGCATGCTTGATTGATTTTTAGCGTAGTTGAAATTTCTGCGGGGTTTGAAGTTTGGTTTGTTTAAAAATAATCTTGGCTTTTGATCATTGCTCGGCTTTTTTTGAAGATCAGAGTTTCTAAGACTGGAGTCGAGGATTCCGTTGAAAATTGATTTGTTGAATGTGTTGATCTCAAGGACACACTTGAAGTTCATTCTTAATTTAATTGTATTGAGCAGAAGTGAATTTTCGTTTATGAACAAGCCTTTGGCGACATCTTGAAGGTTTCTACGCGGCATACGGCTACTGTCGACCTATAAATATTTGATTATTTAAAAAAAAAATGTAAAATTTTTGCTATTTAAAAATAAGTGGTTCAATTTTTCAATATTAATTAATTTTATAAAAAAATTGTCTTCTGTTTTTTTTTTTTTAAAAAAAAAAAAACCAATATTTTTGACATAATATCAAAAATTTAAACCATTTATTATAAATTGAAATAATTAAGGCCTAGTTTAAAAAAAAAAAAAAAGAAAAGAAAATTAATTAAGTCTTACCACTGCGCTAAATGATTTTTTTTGATCGTCACATTTTATTTCAACATTGAAGCCATATTGAGCCGCAATTTTTGCAGAATCAAACATTAAAACGTGAGCTTTCATATTTTCCTTAGGACTCACAGATATGTGTAAAACAAACAATCCAATACCTTGGAGCTCAAATGCGTAGTCTTGACGACTATCCGGTCCCGTGTAATTCAAATGCAAATTCATTATATGCGGCCATCCTTTTAATTCATGCTACAAAAAATTAACAATTAATCAAAGTATTAAAACTAATTTAATTTATTTTAGTAAAATTAATTCAATGTCTAGTTTTTTAATTTCAATACTTACTGAAGTAAATACTGAAGAATGATTAGCTTTCATATGCTTAAGAATATCTTCATAAATTCCTCTAAAGTTGCAAGTGCCAATCCAGCATGAGTATGAATTTTCACTTAAAGAATCGGAATTTGCTTGAATTATCAATTTACCATCAGAAACTTTAATTGAACCATTTGCTGGTGATTTGACAGTGGGTTTTGTTCCAGCTGAAGCTTTATTTCCAGAAAATATATTTATATCTTTTTCGGTAGCCATCGACATTTTGTTATGACGTTCTATATTAGTCTCAGTGGCCTTGTTAACTTTCGAAGAATTTTTGTTATCATTTTTCGGGTTAATCGCTGAAATATCCAGTTGCTCAACACAGCTCTGTAGTTAAATTAAATTTTTTTTTTTTCAATTATTAGATGTCTCTTAGTACCGAAAATTTATTATTTAAAACACTACAAACCTTTAAATTGTTGAATTGAGATATCAAAAATTCAGAAAGATGATTCCGAAGAAATGGATTTGAATTGGGACAAGCCATACACGATTGGGTTTTGCAGGAGAGACAGCAATCATGTCCAAACTCACAGGAAAAAATTTTTTCTGACAATTTAGCACCGCAAAAATGACACGGAATTTTTTTTTCAATTTGAGTTTGCCACAGTAGAAACTAAAGAATAAAAAAACAAATAAATTAATACACTTGTACTTGAAATTTGTAATTTTTTTGTTGGTGAAAAATGAATTAAAAAAACTTTTTAAATTATTAAATATCTGCTAAATTAATTTTTATTAAAAAAAATTACCTGTTTTTTTAAAAGATCCATGGTGACTCGCCTTACAAAACACTCTGCAGAAAGAACAATCAAGTCCACTGATTCCTTATCGGCAAATCTAATCTTAACGACGCTTTAGCGCTGTAACATAAATTATAATATTAATATTCATATTATTGATCGCAAGAAAATTATTAACTTTACAATAATTATTAATTATCACTTGTTTTAATACAATGAAATTATATTATTTAAAAATATTAATATAAATTACTTACGTGAAATTATATACTTTTTTAACAATACTTTTCAGACTGACGCAACGGATATGAAACAGTTGAACGCGAAGAATTGAATCCAAGCTCAGAGGAATGCAAGTATATATCAACAATCGTAAAACAAAACAATGTATTGAATTACGTCGTTAAATTTCACCCTTTGATTTTTATTCTTCATAATATTTAACATTTTAGTTTTGTTGTATCCTAAAAAATAAAATATTGTAATTTTAAATCAAAAAATTTTTTTAATAATCATTTTTACAAAATTTTTAGTTTTATATTAATTTAAAAAAAAATTTTTAAGAGAAATATTCTTCTTACCATTTGTAGCGAAATTATCAACAGTTGGAAAGTTATTTTACATTGAGAATAAATATTATTCACCCTGATAACCAGACTTATAAGCTTTTTGTTGTATACTGAGGTGCGTATCAGTATTAAAATTAATTAGTTAATTGAGAATAACAAAATTAAATAATTATTTAACTTAACACCATCTTTTTGATTTTCCAAAGATTTTACTGAAAAAATAACTTTTTTATAGTCCCAAGTACCCCCTTCAAAATGAACTTTGGTGAAATTTTGAATCTTGCATAACTTTTCGAAAAAAATTAAAAAAATTTTTTACTTTGGCACAACTTTGTTTTATGATTATTAAAGCAAACTTGTGACCAAATTTCATCCAAATCGGAAGGGGTCGATTCCAACTATTGGCCGGTTTGACGTGGAATGACTCACTTCATAAATTATTCTATTACTGTTTTCTATTTAAAAAAAAAAATTCATTCATTCATAGCTCATTAAATTACTTTACTATCGTTTTTTTTTTTGTTGTTCTTCTAACAACTACTACGTTACCATAAGTGATTTTACTATTAAACTTTTTATTATTTTTTTCAAAATCAGTGGATCAGTGGTTCGAATAAGCAGATTTAAAAATTTTTAATAAAAAAAATTAAATGAAAGAAAGACACTTTAATAAAACAAATTTTTGAAATTTCTTGTTAATTTTTTTTTTAATGTAAAAAAATCATTTATTCAATTCAAACCAGTAGTTGTCTGGTTCGAACTTTCAATCCTGGTTAACAGAGTGCGCGCTGGTTGTCATTGTGTGGATTCAAAGGGAATACACTATGCTAAAAATTACTGGACCAAAGTGATACGATTATTATTGTTGTCATTTGTTAATCAACAAAATATATTTAAATAATTAATTATTATATTTAATGTTGTGAATCCGAAAGGATTGATCACAACACTCTTTGTATATTAACATAGAATTACGTATAAAAAGATGGCTGCAATAAATGATAGCGGGAAAAATCCCATAAGATTTAAAATATATGTATTTATTTGTAATAGTATTAGTAAGAGAAATAAGAATCTTTCAAATATCGTAAACCTTTCTATTTTAAATTCTATTGTCAAGTATGGGAATTTTTCTATCATAAATTTTAGGGTATAGACGAATTTATAATTACCGGAAACTCCCAAGGGAAAACATAAAAACTTTTAAGTGCCGTGCAGTTAGTCTAGACATTCTGAGAAAAATTTCCTTGTTAAAATAAACTTACGCTTGTAA